AACAAATTTGTGAAAAAGGAAAAAAAAAAAAAAAAAAAGAATAGTGTTTGCCCTTTGCCATGGCAACTGCTGGAAACCAACATTGCTTTTTGTAAGGGCAGCTACTGTTCACCTGAATTGTAGCTGCCCTAGCCCCCCTTTGCCGTGGCAAGGGGCTAGCTGCTGGAAGTGCTCTTATGGAACACTTTCACGTCAACCTCTGTGTAGGGACACAGCCCGTATCTATTCTGTTAGGTTTGGACATTAGGCCCACATAGTTTGGGCTTGTAGTTTTGAAATCTTAAGGCCTGTTTGATAATCATTTCTTCATTTTTCAAAAACTGCAAATTTGTTGGGTAACTAATTTCAATTTTCAAAAAAATTTGAAATAATGAAAACTAAACACAAGTTGTTTAGTAACTAATTTCAATTTTTAGTTTTATAAGTAACTTGGAAATTAAAGTTTTTCGGGTCACATTGTGAATTTGAGATCATAAAATGAAAGTGCATGTTACAAAGATTTCGTAGTATTTTTTTGTGAATTTTTGGAATTGGAATGATTTTTTGTGAATTTTGGAGATGGAGTTCCCGAGGCTTGGATTAGGTCTATAGAACACAAGAATCGAGCGACCAGGTCCAAGTCGGGAGGTCCCAAATACAAAATTATGATGACTGTAGTGCGTTTCATGTGTCGTGATGTAAAATTAATGAATGAATTAGGAGTGCAACAAAAACAAAAACAAAAACTGAAAAATGAAAAACACTTTCAACTTGTTTTTAAAAAAAGGGTGATTTTGAAAACTATATTTCACTTTTTTGAAAATTGAAAATGAAATTTGTTACCAAACATGTTTTTAGTTTTCAGGTTTCAAACAACTAAAAATGAAAATGGTTATCAAACAACCCCTTAAGTTAACGTGTGGACGTTTATAACTAGTTTGATTGGTGTTACAATCCATTCATGTCATGATACCTCACTCATTATAATAAGTGAATTTTAAAATTTCCATTATGGCTCGTTTGATTATCATTTCAATATTTGGTTTCTAGTTTTCTATTTTAATTTTTAAGAAATTGAAAACTAAAAACCAAGTTTAGTTTTCTTTATTATAAAAAAATAAATAAATAAATAAAAAGGTTTAAAAGTTGTTTGGTAACTAATTTCAGTTTTATGTGGACCATGGAAATTGAATTCTTTGGAGTCAAATTGTGAATTTGAGATCATAGAATGAAAATGCATTTTACGAAGAGTTCGTAGTATTTTTAGTAGGGGTGGACATTCAAACCAACGAACCGGAAATTCGAGCCGAACCGCACCGATCCAAACCGGAAAAAAACCAAGTTGACCAAAAAGTCAAAAATCGGTCAAAAACCGAACCGGATTGGTTTGGACCGATTTTGATTCCGGTTCTGTCTTCAAAAATCGGACCGAGCCGAACGGAACCGGTCAATTAAAAAATATATAATTTTAATATTTATTTATATTCAATGCTATATTTTTAATCTCATAACTAATATTTATCCAAGTTCAATTTCAAAATATCTTTCTTTTCTAGTTTTAATATTTATTTTTATATGAAATTGAATAATTGTTAATTTTCAAGTAATAAAATAAAATTTCAGTTGAAAATTGTATTAAAAAATCATTTTTTAAAAATATTTTTATAATTCGGTTCAAAATCGAACCGGAACCAATTCAACCCGAACCAAATAGTTTTTGAAATTTTTTTTATTAAAATCGAACTGATCCAAACCGGATGAATAATACCAGATCGATTCTAATTTGAGGCAAAAACCGGTCCAAACCGAACCGTGCCCACCCCTAATTTTTAAGTGAATTTTTTGGAGTAATGATGACTCTTTTTTGTGAATTTTGGATATGGAGGTCTCGAAGCTTGAACTGGATCTTTGGCTGAACGCAAGAATCAAGAGGCCGGGTCCAAGTCAGGAGGTCGCAAATACCAAGTTTTGGTAGCTATAGTGCATTGCATGTGTGGTGATAAAAAATTGGTGAATGAAAAAGGAGTGGGAAAAAAAAAACTAAAATTGAAAACACTTTCAAGTTGTTTTTTAAAAAAAGGGTGATTTTGAAAACTATAGTCCACTTTTTTTAAAACTGAAAACAAAATATGCTACCAAACATGATTTTGAAAACTATAAAACTGAAAAGTGAAAATGAAATGGTTAGCAAACAAGCCCTTAACAATTTGAGTGACAAACATATGAAAATATTCCCACTTTAAATTCGTCATTATGGTAATCTTACTTATTTTCAAAGCCAATGAAAAAGAAAAAGAGAGTGTTAATAATGCCTAAAAGATAAATAAAACTAAGACAAACATGATATAATTCATTACATTTAAAACTAAAATTTCGGGTTCAGGCTTAAACATTTATAACTACTAGAGATTCTTCGGTCATGTTACAACTCATCTATATCATAACACTTGACTAATAAAAGAACTCAAAAAGTTTTCCTCAACAAATATTCCCACTTTGAATTTGGATATAAGGTGATGAGTTTATTGTTTTGACCAATCGACTTAACTTCTTTTGTAAATAAAGATGTTAATAATGTGTAAATAATAGATAAAACTAAGACAAACATAATATAATTCAGTATCTTTAAAAAAGAAATATAAGAAAAATAAAAGTCATTAGTTATGGGTACATAAAAGCCTAAAACAAAAGTATGTGGTGCCAACGAGGGTTGGTTCAGTTGGTAAAGTTCGTGCACTGTGTTGTACCCCCACCAGTGTTTGAGTTCCGTTGCTAGCAGTCATCGTTGGTGCGCGATCTGTAATTTCCAACTAAATCCATATCAGTTGTAGCTGGCAGTTAGGTGCCACCCATAAGTCCTTCCGATTTGAGATTATGGATTTACCCTAACGCTGGTGATGAGAGCAGCCAAACTCCCCCTAAACTTTCTTCATTAAAAACAAAGATACGTGGTCCCAGAGACATAAAGAGAGATTCCACAAAGTGGAATTCCAACTTCCATTTCCACCCTTCGGACGTCACTCCGATGACGCAAACACCTCTCAATGATATGGCATCAGTCAGCCTAGCCATGCCATCTTTGATTCTTATTTTATAAAACAAAAACAAAAACACAAAGAATAATCTAAAGTCAAATCACGCTGTCCAATATAAACACTCTCAACCGTTTGTATGCAAAATACACAGAGCCATCCACAAACAATAAACTTACGCAAAGCAACCTTGTCTCGCGTTGTCGGCAGCGCTGGTACGGCGTCGTATTGCCAGATTATCAGACCATGGATGGTGAAAAGCGAAAGCAGGATGACAGGAGCGGAGTAGAGGCGAAGAAAGCGAAAGTGGAGGGAGATCATCGGGAGACGGTAACGGAGGAGGAGGTGGAGGAGTTCTTTGCCATACTGAGGAGGATACACGTGGCAGCCAAGCACTTGGGCAAAACCAACGACAGATTGACGTCATCAATGAAATGGAGGCCCTCTTTCGAAGTGCAGGATTTTGAGGAAGATAACATTAATCTTATTAAAGATCATAAGGATGGAGAGAAAAAAGCGGAGGGGGATTTCAGTTTGGATCTCAACTCACATCCTGAAACTGAAAGCATCGGTTGAGTTTTTTCTTTATATTTGAAATTTAGTGGTTATTATGTTATTACAAGGAAAATTGAGATCGGAAATGGAGAAAATGTGGGATTTAATGTGATCTGTGATGCGTGTTCATCCCAAATTTACGAAAATAACCGATTGGAATCGGAGTTTTTGCATCTGAATTAACGTGTATGTTGTTTTTTTGTTTTTATTTTATTTTTGGGTATTTTATTTTAGAGATTTTCTATTTAAACCTCACACTTCTCTTAGTTCACCCCATGTTCTAAGTTCACCCCATCTTTTAATTTAAATTTTCACAATTTCTAAGAAAACCCCACTATCTTCCCAAACTACCCTTAAATACACCCCAAACTGAAAAAATAAAAAATAAAAGAGATTTTCTATTTAAACGCCACAATTTTCTTTGTTCCCAGCAAAAAAAACACAAACAAATAGAACTCTAAACCCGAAATTTAATACTTTCTAGAGAAAAAGAACAACTTTACCTCTCTCCAAGAACTGTAACTGGAATTCCAACACTTGGGTATTGTTGAGTTGATAATCAACAAGCCTTTCCATCAACTCTCACGCACATTTAAAGAGTAATATGGAAATAAGATGTAGAGGAGTTTGTATTTTTCTAAAACTTGATCTGAAGAGTTGTCGGGTGTGTTGGGTGTGGGGTGTGTGTATAGATGTACTAGGGTTAATTATTAAGTTGGATGACCTTTTTTGTCTTTTTACACAATAATAAAATTTACAGTTTAATGATTTAAGTATTGGGGTGAACAAAGAGAAATGCGGGGTTTAAATAAAAAATCTCTTTATTTTATCCATGTGAATTGTGAAGCTTTATTATTATTTTATAGTAATTTTCTTTTGTTTATGGCAGACTGGGGTTGACTGGACCCCTCAATTTGTCGCTTGGGAAAGAAAATAAATTTGAGTTGTTAGGCAAAGACTTAATAATTTTGCCTTATTTACCGGGGCACCCTGACTTATGCTTGGGTGGTTGGTGATTCTTAGGGTTTTCGACCGAAATGGTCCCCCAAAACTCAAGAGCGAGGGACCCTAACACACTTTATTTCTTTGATTTGGTTTTCATCCAATCTTGTCCCCAAAGTACATCAAAACCAGCAAGCAAAACAAGGCGTATCGCAAATGCTCGACCACTCTAATGCCTTTGGGTTAGGATTGAGTCTCTGTTTCAAGCCGGTCCCCTAGGATGTTGAGAACCCATTTGCAGGCCCCACCAAGTGAGGTTGCAGCTGAGGAGGCGCCACATGGGACCGTAGACAACGGAGAAAACAAAAAAAAAAACATATTATGAAATATAAAAAACATAAGGAAAAAAAACCATAAGAAAATAAAAAATTGGAAAAAAAAATTATTCATTCAAACTTGGAGAATATGGATGGATTTGCAGCAAGATTCAAGAGCACACAAAGCTTCGTCAAGAATCAAGACTTCAACGCAAGGCATCCCCTTGGTTAAATGGATTCCAACTTGGACTCCAAGACCACGCTCTTCCGTTCAGGTTTCATCTCTCTCTTTCTCTTCTTCTTTTTTTTTTCTTTTTTTTTTTTTTTTTGTTGCCAAAACAACGTCATTTGGTCAGGACTTTAAAAAGGAAAACACTCTCAGCACATCATCACAACAAAGAAGGGAACATGTCGTTGGGTTGCTTGCTGAGGCATTTATTCGAACAGGTGGTGGGCACCTCAAAGGCATGGCAAAGGGGCTTACTTCGGGGACTCCAAGGCTTTTTCCAGCGAGGGGAGGTGAAGTTGTTCCTCCTTGCGTCTCTGTAGATCCGTTACTGTGGACAGGTGTCAAGATTTTAAGATGATGGTGATGGCATGCCTCAATAAATTTCTTTTTGTTTTATTTTATTTTTTTCTGGTGGAATTTAGGTAAGACTGTATGTTGTAATCTTCAAATAAGATGAAGCAACACTTTCGTATGAAAACAAAACAAAAATAAAACTTTCGTGGGTATGTGACATGGATGTGATAATTATTATAAGAAGGGTAGCTCTGAGAAAGCAGATGAATGAAAGGGCCCCTAAGTACATTATCTGGGCTAACATCCAATGTATTGGGCTAACTCTACCCAATAGATAACCCCCATTTTTGTTTCCTTTGCGTTGTGCATGGCCCAAAAGCTATCGGCATGTTGAATTGAAAGGGTTGGTTAATTAGGGTATAACAACTTAGGCCCCGGCGGCTCTACAATCATTGCCTCCACTCCACAACCATCCCACAACCATCGATGCCGCCTTCCCCCGATGACAATCGCCACCCCCATTATCACTTTAACACTAGCAATCCTATTAATTGCTCTGTAATGACAGACGTTAAATTTTGTATCTAAGTTCCATTATACTTTTAGGTTAGTTAAACAATATACTTCACAGTTTCTAGAACTCTAAATTCTGTAGTACTCTTAATCTCCCCTGTCCAATAACATGGTTACTAATTAAACTTTTATTAAACTTTTATTTGATAATTAAGTAAATTGAACTCTACCCAGCAGACAAAATAATTAAGAAGTATATCTTAAGAAACAAATGAAGGAAAGGATTATGCTTTGCCGTAGTCACTCCCCAAGTTATGGTGTGGAATCACCACTAAAGTTTAAAGAGGTTTTGTATCACTAGTACTAAAGTCTAAAGTCCAAAGAGGTTTAGTATCAATTGGTAAGGTCCTTCACTAGTGTTCGAGTCTTCATTGGTGCGCGATATGTAATCTCTTACATAAATCCATACCAGTGGCAGCTGGTAGTTGGTGCCACGCATAATTCATTTCGGGCTCGAGATTGTGGGTTTACCCTTGCGCTAGTAGTGAGAGTAGTCAATCTCCTCCTAAACTTTTTTTTAACCCAAAAAAGAAAAGAAAAAGGGTTTATTACCAAATATGTAATTTATAGGGAAAAAGAAAGATTAGCCCACCAGTCCACTACAACAAATGCTTGTTTTGACACTTCCACAAAAACAAACTTTACCAATTAGAATGTCGACAGATGCACAGCTAGATAGCGTAAAAGTCAGATCATGTATCCATTGTTCTCTCCGATGTTTGGTTTGTTGTCTCATATCTAAAAATCATACAAAACAATCCATTAATATATATATGTAATTTGCCAGTTATTGAGACAGTTGTATATAAAATAGTATAATTGTACCTTTCGATCTCTGTCTGCACGTTTTATACAAAACAAATGGAAATGGAACATCACAGAGAGAAGCTTTGTGTGGAAAACGCTTTGCTATGCTATATACGTTGAAGAATTAGATAATACATTATACATGTAAGCTAAGCATGCACCCACTTGAAGGATGACGACGACGACTCCTTTAGCAATCCTTTCCTTGTACGGATCTGGTATGGCCAAAACACGATAAGGAAGGAAATTAATTTATTAATGAGATGAGAGACGTACACAGCTACAAAACTGCAGCCAGTACAGCTAATTTAGTGAATTTTGCTACCTAACAAGGACGATGCTTTAAGCAGTACGCGCGTCTAACTTTTGTCCCTGCATTGCATGTGATGCTCCATGTGGTGGTGGGGACTTTATGCTCAAGGCATGTTTATCTTACATGACCTAAGTTTGATCCTTTTCTTTTCTAGCTAGTGGTTCGTGTCTACATTATATTATTCATTGATTGGGTTGGGCGATCTGCTTTTTTAGGTTTCCCATTTATTTTCCAAGAGTGAGCTTGATGCAGACCTCAACCAATATTTTCTACACGTTTTCATGAAGCAAGAGTAGGTGGTGGGGAGAACGAAGAAAGGGGCCTCTCTTTTTTACATTTATAACTTGATATACACGCATAAATGTAAAAGAGTGATGTTATTTGTATCACATTTATTGACCATATTGTTAATGAAGACGAGAAAGTCCAAATGGAAAAATAATTTGCCCATGATCAAGACGAGAAGAAAAACAAAGTCATCCAATTTATTTATACAAAAGAGAGTCTAAATTACTCTAAACTATGAGGAGAGAGACTCGAACTTGGGTGAATTGAGGTAGACCCACTTTCATGACCAACTCACATTTGTCAAAGTAATCAAATTCAATGTGAAGCACTGTGCACGAAAGTAGTTGTAACATTATTTCAGATTAGGGACCTTGGGCAATCGTTTTCCTATTAGACTAGCTAGGAATATTAGATGAAACTTCTTAGAAAGAAAAAAAAAAAGATTAGAGTCAAGTCACCTAACATATTAGTAAAAGAAATAAAGTAGGAAAGATAAGTGGGAATTTGTACCTTGCCCACTCCTAAAAAAAGAAGAAAAAGAAAGAAAAAGGGCATTATAAATGTAGATATGAATTGCTTTCAAGGAATTTTCGTGATTCAGAAAACCTGTAGAGGGGAGGACGACATTATCAATGCAGCCATGGGCCACCACGTCTCCTTTTGTGGGACACTGGCGTTTTGGGGTTAGATGGAAATTCCAATTTTCTTGAAAGGCAATGCAGAAAATGTGACCAGTCCATTGGGCAAAGTCTTCCCTCCTATTGGATATTGTCAATTTCTCAATCCTGAAGCCACCATCCATGTTGGAAACAGGAAACCCATCAAAATTGTCACCCTGATTAAACATATTAAGGTGTGGAAAACGTGTTTCTTCGTTTTTTGGTAACAAGACGTCTGCATAGAACTGGTCTACACGAAATTATTACTTGAGTGAATTATCTATATAAATTATTCCATTCAGTCGTCGACAAACATAATAACCTAAATTAAGTGCCCTGACGCATATAATTATAATAAAAATTAAATATTTTAATTTATACAGAAATTGTCGGTCAGCCGAATCCGATGTCGTTTTTGGAAACAAAATACACCACTACACAAAACCGGCCTTTCATTTTCTTTCTCATCTTGGTGTTATTTTTAATACAAAAACGTTTTGTTGTGGCACTATGTCACGATGTGTGAATGGTTTTATCAATGACAAGATTAAAAAGATACTAAACAAGATTAGACAGCAGCCTCCTCTCAAGTAAACGATGGGTCGCAGGCCTTTTATTTTTTATTAATATGATTAATTCCTTATTCAAATAATGTGTGCAAGTTTCTGTCAAGCTTGTGTTGCTCTGCAATCCAACAAAAGGTTTGATTTCAAAATCTTGAATTGAATAGTATAATATTTAATGTATATTTGACTTGTACAATTTGAATTTTATTAATGCGTCAAAGAGAAGAAGCTGGAAAAATTAAGATCAATCGGATCAGAATCTTCAGATATGTTTATTATTCACACCAATGAAACACGACAAATCGAATTCATCATAAATATATATATAAAAGAAATCTCTTTTAACAAAATGAAAACAAACACCACAATAGCAATAATTAATTAATCTAAGCGTATAGTAGTTAAGTTCATTACACATCTTATAGAAATCAACACAAATATTCACCAAGTTACAAATTCACACTATGACAGAGGGATAGGCCACGAGTGTAATAATTTGTATCTTTAAAATGCTTTTACTTATATATTAAGGGGTCGTTTGAGACTGCTTCTTTAGGAATCACATATGCTCATACACGCTTTTAGTAAAAGCGCTTTTATTATAAATATATTGAAATTTTCATAAGAAAACCAAATGCTTCCTAGAAAAGCACATAACACGTGCTTCTTCAGAAAGCGCTTTTATAATACAGAAGCACTTTTAAACTTTTCTACCAAACGCTATCATAAGCATTTTTGATTGTCTGAAAGCGCTTTTAGCCATTTCAGAAGCACTCTCAAATAGGGCTAAATCACAAAAAGAGCATAACCCAATTGATGAGAAATGCTTAACCAATTTTAACATAAACTCCTTACCCAAAAAAAAAAAAGGGAGGCTCTCTCAATTGTCTAATTTTTTCAAATAGTTATTTACACTAACACCCCATGAGGTTTTAATGTTTTCATAGAACCACTGAAGTTTCCAAAATTATAGAAATACCCCATGCAGTTTTATATTGTTTTCACAAACTCATTTTCGTTGATTGTTTGTCCAAATGTTGATTTTCATTAAAAAAAAAAAAAACTTATGCAAATCACAAAATTATGTCATTTGGATATTTTTTATATATATAAAAAAATCATTAATTTCTTGATAAATAATTAATAAAAATGAATTTTATGAAAATAATTTAAAATTTTATGGAGTGTTCATATAATTTATAATATCTCATGAGATTTATAAAAAAAATTCAGAATGTGCTAGTGTAAATAACTCTTTTCTAAATGTAATGTAATAATGGGCGGCGAATGTTGAAGGAAATTAAGTTGTTGCGCACTAAGGAACGGCTGTGTCCGATAAGTCCTCATCTAAATCCAAACTCCTCCTCCTCGTGAAGGGTGAAAACCACGACATAAATAACGCACTCTGATTCAGGTTAGACCCCTTGCCCCTGCCTGAATCATGTGATTGCTTTTAAAACCCACCAGTGCTACACGTGGACCCCCTTCTCTTCTGCCCGACGACGCATCAGCTTTTCTAGATCTCCCATTTACATAATTGACAAGACCAGAAAAAAATAAAGAAGACCGAAATCTGGCGCCAAACAGGAAGTAAATACCAAGCACTTGTGGAAAAGTGGGCACGTGTAAACGTGGAGGCAAAGCCCAAACGACAACTTGACATAAATAAAAAAACAAAAAAAAAAACTAATGCATCAATCGAGGAGCGGCTTTAAAAACAGCGGCTAGCTGGCCTACTACGTACGTTTAGACTTGGACGTGTCACTGAATAGACTGCATATGCTTTCCCACGCACAGCCAGCTGGAGTCGGCTCACCGTTTGAGCCACCGGCTTTACTTTGTCCCCA